TTATGTTAAGATTTAAAATTTAATTATTTTACTTTTATAAATTTTACGTCAATTCTTACGGTTTTACATTAGGGCACCAGGCTTATCAGCATGCAAGGCTATGTCTATTTCACTCATAACCAAGGTAAAAGACAAATCTTCATTCCATCTCTTAAAGTTAGACCCATTAAGAGTCTCAATAGTAGCTTGACTATTATTCATAGTAAAAGTCACTATTTCAAACCAGAAATACAACTATTAGTCAATCGAGCAATAATGACATAATTAGCAGCATTCCATAATGTGCTAAAAGAAAATAATAGAAGAGTTCAGGTGCATCATCACAGGCCCTCTTTTAGGTAAAGAATATGACATGCTAATAGGCACTCCCCATATAAAGCAAATATAAAAATATTCTAGTTTTCGGAAAGCCTAGCACCTTTAGGCGAACAGATCTTCTAGACCAGTATACTCTCAACCATGATGTTTTATATCCCACTTTAAATTTCCCTACACAATAACCCCTTTTGGCAAGTGATTTTATAAAGCAATTTAAAGACCATCTTGTAACTTTTTGCTTGAGAAAATAAAACATTACTTTTAGTAAATGAGCCATTTTGGCAATCAAGCACTTACATCAATTAATAAAAAATTTTCTTAAAATGAAAATTAATTATTTGTCCAAATTCCTTAATTTGCATACTAAACCCAATGTATGCAATGGACCCTTCTTGTTGAGATACAAAGCCTAGATATATCTCATTTAGTCCTAAATAGTATTCATTGCATCAAAATTTAAGGTTTTGAACTCAAAAAATAAATGCAAAACATTCTCTAACTTATGTATATAATTTCAACCCGAGAGTATACAAATTTAGAGACTAATCTAAGAAAAGTACATATAGCCATTCAACTCAAATATATTCGTATTATTTTTCTATCACGTGCATTCTAAAAATATCTCATCAAAAATATTTAAAATAATTAATTAAATACACATAAAAATAAATAAATATAAAACGTGCATTAAAAATTCAAAAAATTAGTACAAAATGTAGAGTTGGGCAAGTGGATATGAACTACAAAAGGTATTTTGAAAATCTTGAGCCAAACGCGCCTCATGCGCCCCACAATCTACACTTGAGAATGGGCTTGACTACCTAATTGATTTTTTCTATTTCTTCAACTTCCGATTGGATCAAGTTTGACCTGTTGGATCAAATTCAACCCATTTGGATCTTTATGCTAATTTCTATCGTTCAAGTATTTTTGATGAAATTGACCCTTCTAAATCTCAATTAAGATTTTGTT